CTCTAAGCAGTAAACCTGATGTTTCAAAGGAAGCATGTGGCAAGAGATAAAAAAATTACTACTACTGACCAATAAAATCTTTAAGGTTTATGTTATATGAAGAGATGACAGTAATCTTAAACTTCTAATTCTCGTTGTGAAAAAGCAGAAATCAAATGTCCTTGGTTTATTGTCTTTTACATATGTGGACAGATGTCTATATATGATCTGTGTGCTTTTTGTTAAGATTGTGTCTATAAGTGATGTTTCTTCCTTGCGTTCCATGAACTTTTATAGTATACATCATATGTTTGTATTCACTATATTGTTTAAAAAGCAAACCAACTTGTAACTGGGATAAGTGTACAGTGACTGCAGTGGATTTTTTTTTTTTAAAGTGATTGATATGTGCTAGTTATCTAAAACCAACTTGCTTTGGTTTCGTGTTGGTGCTTGGAATAAAGTGAAGCTAGCCAGAAGTGGAGCTTGTGATAGATAGGTTTATTAAAGGAGAAATAGAAGCAATATATTGTTGAAATAGACTTGAGCTCTGTATGCAACATTTCTTTCTATAAGCTTCCAGTTTTGCTATTAGTGAGGCTTATGTAGTAGGTGGAAGAGGGAAGTAATTAAAATAAATTTCTGGTGAATCATCTGAAAGTTTTCTTAATTTGCGGGAAGGTTGTTCCTAACTGTTACGAAAATACACTGTCTTATATCTATGTATATCTTCCAGTTTATCCTGCAAATAACAAATGGTATTTGTTTGTCAAGATGAGTATGAACAATTGGTCTTAAAAGGGAACTTAAATGTATGGAACCAGTCACATGACTCATTTTGAGTGCCTTGTTATAGCTTCTGGATACAGAAGTCTTAATTTGTTGCTGTTTCACACTTGGGTTTCCTTTACAACACTGAATTTAAGGTTTGGGTTTTGGTTGTTGTTTATTTTGTTGTGTTGTGTTTTTTTTTTTTTTTTAAAGAGTGTCGTTACGTGGATGAACGTTCCAGGAACACTGCATGGAATAGTTATCCTAGTGAATGCGTCAGTGGGCAATGTGTATTATTTGGTTGTCATTTTTTAAGAGAATACTGTATTCGATAACCTAAGAAGCTCCCTTTGGTATTAGGTTCTTGTGTGACTGCAGACCCAAGCAGGACCTTCATACTGTGCATACTGAGGCCAGGGATCAGCTTTGGCTTCTCCTAGGTTGTCCCAGGAGACAGCGATGATGTGGGAGTGTGCAATATACCTGTGCTTGCAGGGCACCCCTTTATTCTGGGTTTACAGGGAGCAGGCAAATACTGCTGGCTTGGGAGTCTCCTTTCTAAAGGCCTTTCCTTAATATGTTTTTTTGATATTGCCTGAAGGACAAATCTGAACTTGGTTGTGTGGTGGTGATAAACCCCGTATGCAGTTGTGTGCAGTTCCTGCCCCGAGCTACTGCTAGGCTGTGTTAGAAGGGAATAATGTTGACTACAGAAAAGGAAAAGTAACTGAGGTTGTGTGGTGGTCCATTAGTTTTGTGTTAATTTTTTTTCTTGAAGCTTTGATATGTATGTTCTCCCTTAGGATTTATCTAATAATTCAGCTAGATGAGAAGAAAGAACATGTGCGAACAGAAATGAGGATGAGAATGTGGAGAGCACATGGAAGTAGGTAGAGATGGAGACTGAGGAACAAGCAGGCAGGAGATCAGCTGAAGTTTTCTGAGTGAGGAAGGAGAAAAGGAAGATCATCTACATTGCTGCTCTGTGTGAAACACTCCACAAAACCAGTTAATAAAGCAGCCTGAGATATGTATTCCAACCTAGGTTGTCTGATGAGAATTCAGGCAAAAAAGGCCAAGAAGGCAGATGTTTCTCACTTCCTGGGCCTGTAGAAAGTGTGGGATGCATTTTATAAATGATTATTTTGACACAGCGGTGAACTGAAGAAGCTGCTGCCTCTGCAATACCTGTTCATTGCAAGTGTTTGGGTTGCCATGCAATGAACCTGATAGGCAAATTTCTCAAAGTTAAAAATAATACAGCAGAAGTGGTTATTTTTAACCTTGGTTGTTCTTCAGTACTGCTATGGCACAGCCACGCAGATGGTTGTATTTGCCTGACTTGGAAGGGACAGCTTCTTGCCTAGTCACCTCTGCTGGAGGACATCACCTCTGCTGGAGGGTATGCTTGTGAAGCTATAAAGGGGTGATTCTGTGTGTAGTGGGAATGGGTTTTTCTCATCACTGCAGAAAAGGAAAGAAAGGTAGTGCTAGAACAAGGCCTTAGGGAGGCTGGATTGTCCTTTACTTCCCCTCTGTAGTTGAAAGCGGTGTTTTGGGGGCTGAGGCCCTTCACCTTTAACTGTTCTGTCCCAACCAGTGTGAATAAAGTAGTATGGGTGATTCCTCTTTTGGGTCTTCTGCTGGTCTGTGTTGTTATGTGGGTATTCCTACAGTGAGGGCTGCTACTGATGAAAGATATGTCCGATCTGTAACTAGCAGAAATGTGGTCACATGCACAAGGTGAAGTGGTTAAAGTTTAATGTGTTTGTGATGTTTACTTGGGCGTTTTTAAACCTGGTAATGTAGATAGATGTGACTAACAGCTTACCAGAATGCTTTGCTTCCCCACCCGTTGTTGTTGTAAGCAAGAAAGGTTTATTGAACCGAGTGGTACAGTGATCAAATAATGTATTTCATGAAGCAGCATTTGGTGAGGTTACATGACTTAATGTGGTGTTGGCCCTGGAACTGACTGCCGATTTGTTTCATACAGTCATGGTGTGAGCTGCATAGGGGAGCTGGTATAGTTTTGAAGAAGAATGTGTTTTGTAAGATTTTTCAACTAGACCGGCTGGCCTGAGTGAGAGGTTGCACGTTGCTGGGCTGGAAACAACCTTCTTGGGAATGGAGGGAAAATTCCTGAAGCTGGTGTTGGTGTTGAATGCTTCATCTTGTGAAACTGCAACTTCGAGTGTTCTGCATGAAGTGAAAAAGGCAGAGTTTTAGCACACATCTTATGTTGCGTTTAGTAAGTGCTTATGAGGCAGATGAAGATTGAATTGGCTGGTACCATCTAGTTTTCAGAGGTTTGCCAAGTTTGGTGTTCTGCAAGGATATAATGGATTATTTGGTGTGCTTAACTCCATGCTAAAACTATGGCTTTTTTTTTAGTGACTTTCCCAGTCTTTTAAGGTAAATATTTTTATTGATTGCAGATGAATGTGTGAACAAAGAACACATGTATTTTTTCTCCCTCCTAGTCTAAACCTTTATTGGAATGCTAATGGATATATGACATGGAGTGCTTGAAGTGGCATTGTTGGTAATGCAGATGTAGTCATTATAAAATGTCTGTCATGTTCTGTAACATCGAAAGGAAATGGTAGATGTGTGTAAAAGTAGATAACTTCTTTGCTGTGGATTTTTTTCCAAGTTCCTGATACCACATTGACCACTGTCTGTATCGCAGCCACTTAGTACTACCTACATGTTACTGCCTTTACTTGCCGCTGCATAATCTTTTTCTCATCTTTCTGCCTGCCCAGTTTTTGGTGCTCTTAAAATGAGCAACAATGTCATTGTACTATGGGACTGGGAAGTTAAGGAGGATACAGAGTAGTGTGGATTTAGAGGCAGCCTTTCTGAAAGGCAAAGCATTGAAAAAGGGAGGTGTCAATAAAGAATTGGATATAGCTGCTTCCTCGGCAGCAGAGCTCTTTTATGAGCAGCTCACTTTAAAACTTGTTTTCACATGGAGGAATAGTTATTCTGCATTATGTTCAGATTCTGCTTCAGTTTAAGTAACCTCCGTATATAAACAGCATTTTTTTAGTATCTGCCAGACCACACAAGTTACTGCGAGAGCCATACAGCAGGTAGCTGTATTCTACTGTCTTCTACTTTGCAGGCTACGGCAGGTTAGCTGTATGCTGCTAGTTTGCAAAGTAAGCATGTGAGTTGTGGCAGCCTAAGCTCCTGCATTTTAAGGCTATAACATCTAATTTTCTAGGTGAGGGGGAAGAAAACAGCAGTTCCCCTTCAGACTGGATGCCTGACACATGTTTAATGTAGGGTAGCTGCTCATGCAACAGCAGTTACTGAGAAATAAGTTGCTGAGATGCTAATTACAAGGTGAAAGTATTTCCTGTTAACTTGTTTGTGGAATTTGGACTGTAACTGCTAGGTTGCTTTAAAACAGAACCGGTTTTGCAGTAAAGTGAAATGTTTGCAATAATGAGAATGCCTGGAGGAGTTGAATAGGGCTGTTCACCTGACTGAACTCCTCATTTTAGGATGTCTTTATCTCATTGCATGTTTCACAGCTGAATTACTTGCTACTTTTTGATGTACTGAGAATGCCCTTTCTTTTCTACCCATGTCCTCAGCAATGTGTGGTTTGTTGTTTGGTTTTTTTTTTGCCCGGTTTCATCTTGCATGTTCTAAATCCCATCCAGAGGGCAGATCTAGATCCAATTTAGTAGAGGTGTGACAGAGAAAGGACAGCAAGTCCCTGTGATTCTGGCTGGTAAATGGGAAAGAACAGTAAGGGAATTGAAAGCTTTAAAGCTTCTTATTACCAGACTTTTTTATTTTTTAAATCCTTCCTCCTACTCCTTGTGTTTAGAGGATTCTTTTGGAAATGCCTGACACTAGGCAAGCTCAAGCCCATTGTTCACTGAACATGGATTACGTTAATCCTGTCATTCAGCTTTCCTCAAATGAACAGGTCCTGGTATTTTGTCAAAATAATACATCAAGTGGTAAAATAATGACTCACTTAGCAGTTGTTCTTGAATTTCTGCAAAAAATATTTGTGTTGCCTTTTAAAACTTAGTTGGCTTTTTTCTCCATTATTTGAAGACATTTTAAAGAGTGGCAATTTTAAGTAATGTGTATGCATGTGGTTTAACCTATAAATAAGAGAGGGGTAAAAAGCTGTTTTACAGTCCTTCCTAACTACAGAAAGTATTTTCTGATGTCCTCAACTAATACCCAGCCTTGTTTTTTCCTGTTCTTTCAGTGATGATGCTATGAGGAAGGCTGGTGTTGCCCATAATAAATCCAGCAAAGATATGGAGAGTCATGTGTTCATGAAGGCCAAAACAAGGGTAAAGCATCTCTGTTTGTTTCCAGAAGTTAACTGGCATATCCAGAGAAGTTTGGAATGACCCGCAGAAGTAGCAAACCCAATGTACTTAGTAAACTGTCTCTGCTTACACACAGTTATGCATAAGTTTTAATTTATATGTGCTTTTTACCCTGAGGGGAGGTGAGGTGGTTTGCATCCAATATATGTATCAAACTGGACTTCAGTCCAAGACAGCTTTGCTAATGCTGCAGCATTTAATGCATATATGGGACGGCACTTAATTCTTACCCAAAGAGTTGTGTGCAGTGAATTGCATAGAATTTACTTTATCTACAGTGTAACACCATTCTGTATGACCAGTTTGGTGGTCGGGAGAGACTAAGCTATCAATGAAAAGGCTGTGTCAAGAGTAAGTCCAGGGGAAGTGCTGTGGTCTCTGTGAAAGTCTGGTTATCGTGTACAATTCTAGACTCTACCGAAATGTAAACCTCTTTCCTGGAGCTGTATTATGAGAAGTTGGATACTGTTGCTGTCTCCAAACAAGCCACGTTTGAGATGGAACTTGGTGAAAATTTTATAATGCTGGTGTCACAAATTTATGCCTGCTGATGGCATCCTCAGTGGTGAGTTGGTAGTTGCATGGGCAGAAAGGTTATCTCAGCCCTGCACAGTTTCTCTTGCACATTATGAAGCAAACTAATAAAATGCTGCAAGGAATATTTGTCTTCTGACACTTCTATCATGTGTTAGTCCTTAAAGTGGTTAACGTACTTGTATTTGTAATACTAACTTAGCTTAAAAAAGTTCTTGTAGTATGAATGTGACATCATTCAAGGACTAAAGTCAGTCAGTGTACCAAGTAAGCAGTTTCAGTTCATAAGAAAAAGGAATTAGAGTGGATAAAAGTGGAAAATGGATGTACTGGTTTATAATTATGTTCGCATATTGTGGTCCTATTAGTGTGGCCGTCACAGGAGGAGGTTCTTTCCGGTGAATTTTGTGGTTTCTTGGCCTTCTTGTACCATTAACCACAATGACCCATTAGTAAAAATATTATCAGTTAATGAACTGACTATTCCTTGCAAGTGAACTGCTCTGAAAAGCCCACAGACATTGTAAAGTAAAATTTGTTATGTGAAGGAAGTATACTGAAGAACCAGAAAGTCATGGTTGCAGCGTTTTTATTTCCTATGCTAAATCTTCATTTTTCACCCTTAGGAGGAATATCTTTCTCTTGTGGCCAGACTTATTATCCATTTTCGAGATATTCGTAAGTAATTGTTTGGTTTTGTGTTTTTTGTTTTTTTTTTTTTTCCCCTCGGTAATGGGATTGCTCATCCCATCCTCCCAAAAAAAAGTGTATTTTAGGGTTTGTGTGCATGGTTCTGCATGTGACTCTTCACAAGTTGCTGTAAAAATTTTCCTGTAATATACGTGCTTATTTTCTAAATACTGTTTCTTTTACACATTCATCTATAACTGAAAAGTCTTTGAGAAATTATTTAAACTACTTTTTCCACCTTCCTAGTTTTTTTCCTGTGTTTTTGCTCTGTTTTCATTGTTTATTTAGCATTCTGTTTACCAAATTGGCTTAGGTTAATGTATTTTGTTAGAACTACAGTGGACAGTAATTTTTTTTGTTATTTTGTAAATTATTATGTGAGTATATTTCTTGTAGAGAGTATGTCTGAAGGGCCAAATTTATGTGTGACAAGATTAACAAAGACAATTAATTGTTCTTCCTTTGCAGACAATAAGAAATCTCAAGCCTCGGTCAGTGGTAAGAGCTCCTTTTTTTTTTTTTTCCTGCCCACCCTCCCCAACCCCCTGTAGAACAGCTTAGAATTCAGGGCTGTGGTGTACTAAGAAGGCGGCGGCTATGGATTCCCTGACTGGAATATTAAATGCTGTAGCAGGAAAGGAGAGGTAGCATGATAGTCTTGCAGTTATTTGGTGATGAGTTTGACAGGCTTGGAGAGTGTTTTGAACATAACACAGGAGACTTGTTTCCCGGTTTGTGCTTTTGTTAGCTCACAAGACTAAGATTCTTCAAAGAACAAGAGTGATTGAAGAGAATCTCTTGCTGAGCAGTCCAGGTTTCTCCCTGTTACCAGCCTTGGGTTCCTCAGTGTGTTGTATCAGAGGCAAGCTGGTGTACGCGCTCTTGCCAGTTGACTGAGGTTAGATCTGATCATGTGTTCTGCCTCTGTGCTAATTCTCGCAGCAGTGTATGTCAGGAACATAGCATGATCCTCTGTTTTTATCCCCCTGTAGGCTAAATATGCAATGTCTGTGATTGATGTCCAGCCTAGACAGTTGGAAATTATTTTATAAGTATTCTTAAGAGAGGATGTTGCTTTCTGTACCTGATTAATATTGCTTCTGCACCCCATGTTGTGTTTTGCCCTCTTGAATTGCCATTCCCTCTTTAACTTTTCTGTGTACCCAGAATTCCAGTTACGACAGCTGTCTTAAACAGCACTGAATTTATGAACTGCATAATAAATGTGATGTTATGGGGGAAACAGTATGTCAAAGTACTTCGTCTGGTCTGAGTGATGCTTCTCTGTGTTGACCTCAGGAGGAGGAGGCTAACTGGATCGACAGTGGCACTCTTTTCTTGGTTTTTGAGGTTACAAGCTGGATATCCTCATGGAGTTTTGTTGGCAGCTTGCTTTGACTTGCATATAAATTCAGAGGTGGCTGATAAGTTTGTTTTCTCTAATGTGTTTAGAATCTATTTGGAACTTTGCAAATCTGAAGCACTTTTAATAATCTTCACTCTATTTACAGAGAGGCAAAGATGTGCTGGGAGTCTCTTACGGTCTCGGAGGCAGAACAGTGAATGTTAAATTCTCAGGGTACCGGGTCTAGTCATGTCGGAAGCTGACAGATCAGAGAGTGGATGATGGAGATCAGAGGATTTTGGGGAGGCAATTGCATGGCTGGCTGCATATTGGTAACTATTTTCTTTGTAGATCCAATGAATGCCCTGCAGAATCTGACTGGGGGTCCCCCGACAGGGGCGCCTGGAATGGGAATGGCTTCCCGAGCTCAAGGAGCACCAATGAGTGGGATGAGTGGCCTTGGCCCAATGGGACAACAGATGAGTCTCCCAGGGCAGCAGCCACCTCCTGGAACCTCGGGAATGGCCCCTCATGGTATGCCTGGTGTCTCTACAGCTACTCAGCAGAGTAAGTGGTCACTTGCCTCAACCACTGAAATTGTTAGATCAGCCTTTCAGTACATAACTATCTTTCATGAGGAAAGGGTGCTGAAGAGATTTCATACTTCTGGCTAAATCAGCCAAATGAACTGGAGGAAGAGTTGATTTCAAATAACTGCTAACTAATGGGATAAATGTCTTGCTTAGTATAGTGAGGAACAGTCTACCTGTTGTATGAGCAGATGCTTCTTTTGTCCTTCAAGATGTCAACTTCAGAACTTTGTTTTTGCAGAACTCCCCTATGTTTTCTATGCGTACAGTGCTTCCTGCTGGTGACCTCTGTGCATCTTTCCTCCTGCACATTTTTATGTTCTTTGCCTAGGTTGCTGACTCAATATAGGCAGTGAGAATGAAGATGTTGGTAGTAGGAAGTGTCATAAACTCTGCTGTTAATGTGCTTCCTCCATTTGAGGAAGCAAAAGTGTATGCTGCTAACGAAGAACATCAATGTACTTTAGGGATTATCTTCAATTATTATGAGTTATAGTGGGTAACTGTCTATTGCATTGTTTCAGTCTCATGTTTTAAGTACAGTCTACGTTCTTTTTAGCCCAACTTCAGCTTCAGCAGATAGCTCAGCAGCAACAGCAGCAGCAGCAACAATTCCAGCAGCAGCAGGTGGCTTTGCAGCAGCAGCAATTCCAGGCCCAGCAGTCAGCCATGCAACAACAGTTTCAGGTCCAGCAGCAGCAGGCAGCAGCAGCTGCAGCAGCCCAGCAGCAGCAGCAGCAACAACAGCAGTTGCAAGCCGTCCAGCAGCAGCAACAGCACATGCTGAAACTGCAAATGCAGCAGCAGCAAAACCAACAGCAGGTGATGACAATTACAGTGGCAATTGAGGTGGTCTGTGTTCAGTTACTTGTCAAGTTGGGCATGGCTTGCATGGATGTACTGAATATCAGCTCTGCTTGTTATTAACACATTTCCACTTTGGGCAGGACTTCAGTTTAGACTTGCAAGTTAATTGGCAAAAATGTATTACATCCCAGAGGAAAGGCTTAACAGTTGTTTGGTTGCTTTCTTCTGTCATAGCAATAGCGAACTAAAACCTTTGTCTCTTATAAACATCAGGATAGTCTTTAATTCTCGCAAGAACAGGGATGTGGGAAAAAACTAAAAGCACTTGTATTACTCTAGAAATAGTGGCTGTTTTTTCGGTGTGTAAATTGCACATTGCCACTTAAAAAAGTGTGTGCCAAGCACATCATATATTTGTGTCATCCTTAGGCACAAAAGGAGAAGAGGAAACTTCAGCTGTCATGCTCTTGTGCAGTTTCTGGTAAATAGTGGTGCTAGTGCAGGCTGATTACATTTGAAGAAGTGCTTCTGAACCCATTTGTACAGGGGAAGCTGATGGACTTCATCTTTGCTTTTGAAAACTGTTTTAGTAGCGAGACAAGCTTGTAATACTGAAACCACAGGATGTGCGCTATGTAGAGTTGAGATATATGAAGAGTGAGTGTGTAAAAAGTTTGGGCTTTCTCTTTGGACTTAAAACCTTAGCCTGATGTATTAGAATTCTGTTTGCTCTTGGTTCATGCTGTAAAGATAAGGCTGCTATTGCATTGCTGGAAGCTTTAGCATCCTGGCTTTTCCTGCTTTTCAGATGCACAGGATATGCAGGCACAACAGCAGCAGCAACAGCAGCAGCAACAACAGCAACAAATACCACAGCAACAGATACAGCAGCAGCCACCTCAACAAGTAATACAACAGCAGATGCAACAGATGCAGCAGCAGCAACAGCAGCAGCAACAACAACAACAGGTTGCTCAGGCACAACAGTCTCAGCTTCCACCACAGTCTCAGCCTCAACCCCAACCCATGGTATCTCAGCCACAGGCAATCTCGGGACAAATTCCTAGTCAGGTTATGCCTGTTACTCTTACGCCACAGCAGTTAAAAGCAATGCAGGTAAGGGTTAGTGACCCACTGATTATTGGTTCATTATGATCCTGTAGAGAAATAAAAAACAAAACTTGGACTTTTGCTAATAATGAAGTAGTAAAAAACATAGCTTATGAAGAGATCTGTAGTTAGCGTGTTATGAGTATGGAGAATTTAAGGGTTTATGTCTGGGCCTGCCAGTAGAGAACAGTTTTGTGTCTAAGAGTAGGACTTCAGAAATCTGTGAAAACCATTTATGCAACTGATACTTGCAGATAAATTCTTGTCTTACGCTTGAGTGGACAAGTAGAAAAAAATAAGAAACAACAAACTCTGGTTAAAGAAAAATAATCTGCGTGATGTTTGCTTTTCTAAGAGCATCAGCACGTGCTTTGAAGTGCCTAGTGCATGTGACTGGAGCCAGTGCTGGCTCTGCAGCATGCTGGCTTTGCTTCTGCTGCCATGTTCAGAGGTTTGGGACAAAGTTTAAGATACCAGTAGGTTCTGCCTTGAAGCGAATGTGGACAAGACAATAGTTTTACTCTGTTGAACCTCTTGCTGGGTCATACTTTTAATGGTGCAGCTTTTTGAACTGTTGCATTACAGTCAGTTTTTTCTGGGCTCCGTATGTGCTGTTGAGCAAAAGCCCAGATGTAATCCCAAGACCTGCTTCTCTTTGGGCCTTTCTGGGAAGGAGCAGAGTGTCAGCCACACTTGAGAAATTATTGACTCCACATGGATGAGTTGATACATCCGCTTTGTGCTTCTACCAGCTAAGCTAGGGGTAGTTATATGTCATGTACATCACCCTGACAGTCATAATCACTGTATAAACTTTTGAAATGCTGATCGTTGGTAGGTGCTTAATACAGTGTACTTGAGGGAAATGAGCCTTTATGTGGTTAGCTGTGTTTGCCAGAAAGTTAAAGTATTGTTTAGGAAGACCTGATAGTACAGGGAAGACATTGCAAGAATAAATCAAATCTTGGGTGTACAGTCTGTGGGAAGACCATTCTAAATGTGAGAAATATGGGAACTTGTTTCCATAAAGGAAGCTCAAAAACTCTAGGAAGAATATGTATGTGAGGTTGATCTTGTCTCCACACCCTTTTTTACGAGAATAGTCAATGTAGTTGAAACAGGAGTGTCATACCCTAATCGAATACTAATGTTTACTTCGTTTGTTCTTTTCATACTCAAGGTAAGGGCTCAGCTGGTCCAGCAGCAGCAGGCAGCGGCAGCAGTGCAAGCAGCTCAGGCCCAAGCTGCTCAGATGGGAGCTTCAGGGCAGGTAAGGGCCTGGGAGCCAGTATCACTAGTTATAGACCTGTAGCAAGTGCATGCTAGGGGTGAGCATGGAGGTGGGTTTCTGGTGGCTTTCTGATAAGGGATCTGACATCGGTCATCCCCTTTATAAAGAGGGATATAGGCTTTTATGCTTTTTCTCCTTTGCCTGGAGTCAGAGGCAGGATTTCATTGACAACCTCTCTGTGCATGCTCTCTGTCCCGAGTAGGTAAGGTTGTTGCCTGTACTGACACAGGAATGCACATCAATAAGACGGCCTACTGTGGTCACACTACAAGTCTGGCTGTTGGTACCTGGAGTGTATCACCTCTTCTTTCGTTAAACTTTTAGGTGACTGCTTTGTTCTGTGACCTGATTTCTGTACTGTGAATCTTTGCCTGCTATCTTTACTCACATGTGATTTACCTTCCACCTCCATGTATCAACCACAAAAAATAGTATAGACAATGAAATCTCTCTGCACTCCCCTTTCATTCCTTTTGTCTTTCATGCTTTTTCTGAGTGAAATGAGCAGCAGATATAGATTGCTCTTGTTCTGGATGTGAAATGTGAAGAAAAAATGGCATGTGTCACAAGTGCAGAGTTACATTTTGAAAAAAAAAAAAAGTGCTGGGTGAAAGCTTATTGTCTAACACAGTTTTCTTACCCTCCAATACACTTGTAGCCCCAGTGAATGTTCCTTGATGTGTGTCTCGTATGAAGGAGACATGGGGAAAAATACTGGGAATGGCTTGAGCTGAACCTCTCATCCCATTTTCCACAAGAATATGAAATAGTCTTTCGTGGCTTACCTCTGTAGTGTTTCACGTTGAGGCATTTTACAGACATGGGTAAGTACCTTGTAGACAAAGAGGCTGAGGCAGACAGATGAAATGAGGTTGACAAGGTTTAATGGCAGAGTTTCCTGTATATCGGGACATTCCGTGTCTGTATGCACCATTTTCCCTTCAGCGCACAAGTAATATTACAGATTCAGTAAGACATTTGGAAGCTTTTTGCATGGGCTATGACCACAATTGGTTCTTCAACGTACATCTTCCAGACTTGTATCAGGAATAGTGTCTTGTACCATCGTAACTCTCATGTGGCCCATATCCCTGTGGGTGGCTAAGTTTTGTTTCTGTATGGGTCAACGTAACACAGGGATGTAAAAGCTGAGCAGTGGTAAGTATGGTCGGTACAGTACTGGCAGCAATGCACAATTCTTTCTAAAGTTGAAATGTGAATTAAAAAATTTGTTTCTTAAATAATTTCCAGGTGGGAGCTGCAGGGACTTAGGCTGACTGGAAGGATACTGACTGTTTTTTTCTTTTTACTAACTTAATGGTATTCTTTTCAACTCCTAAGCAGATGGATTGTGCTTATGTAGAGTCAGCTTAAATCTTGCCCTGTTTAGTGAATTCATATGCTAGTGGCTTGTCAGCACGGTGCATATGAAAAGTTTTGGGTGGTAAGATGGTTGATAGCGGGTTTTGTATTGCAGCTTTATTCAGATGTGTAGTAAACTCAGGGATTGCTCATTGTCTATCACGGATGGAGTTTAGAAAATTCCACATACAAGCTTTACTCCATTTATGTTCATGCTATTGCAGTATGAGTCTACTAAAATTCACTTAATGCTGTGAAGTCCAATAATTAAGCTAGTTTCTTGTATGTATATATTTTCTGTATATAATAGTTTTAAGAGTGTGGCTGTGTACAATATTACAATGCAGCTTCCGTGTTGAGAGTGTATGTGGATTTACTTTATAAGAAGTTTCTTTTAAGAGTAGATTTTTGTATTTAGTACCTTTTCACTAGCACCAGCATTTTTAATAAATCTGCCTTTATTTCTTCATTTGGTTCAGGGAAGATTTTGTTATAAATGAACCCTATCCTAATCTTTGCTTGTCACATTTAAACTTAGTCTCCAGGGGCTTTCAAACTGGGAATTTTGGTTGATATGGCTGTGTTTTTCCTTTTCTGTAAAATTTCTGTTCATCCTTCCTACATAAAAGTAAAAGTAATTCCAGGTTTAAACGTGGATTCATGTGACTTTTGAAGTTCTTCTCTGAAGTCATAAAGACACCATGCAGGTTGGTAATTACCCTGCTTGGGTGTCTAGTCCTTGTAAGCATGTAAGTCACAGGTGAAGCTGATAAATAAACAAAGTAGTGTCCTGGTGATCACAAAGTGCTACACAGGTGCTTGCAGCACCAATAGAAAATCTGTAATAAACTGGAGTTAAATATTAATAAAGTTTAAATCACTGTTCTGGTACAACTCCTTCAGGTGCTCAGAATGCAGGTTGGTTGTTGCTCTTTGAAAATCAGAGCTGTCTTTAGCAGTGTGACAGTGGCACAGTACTTACATATGCTCACCAGAAGCTGCACCTTTACAGAATTCTGAATCTGTGGATTTTAGGTGAAAGAAAATTACAGGTTCAGGATTCTGTTATATTCCGCTTCATTGTTATCAGATAAGGAGTTTTGTATCTTACAGTCAAGGGGGAGACTCTCTTGCTGTGCTTGCTCTCTATTTTTATGGGGTAAAATTCTTAATTCTGTAAATTTAGATAAATCAGTTTCACTTGTGGAAGAGGATTTATATCTTTTTCAAAAGTAGTTGAACGCTTCTGGTTGCCTTCTGTTTTTAGACTGACAAGAACTCCTTTATGGATATATTGCTTTGCATAAAACAGATTCAATCTTTGCAGCCCCCTTTCCCAAGTGCTTTGTCAAAGGATCACAGGTTTCTTAAATGTAAATCATCTAGAGAATGGGAAAAGTAGATTACTTTTGTTAAGAGAGTGAAATTGGCGTAATTTTATATATACACTTCCTTTCCAAAGCATACATTTAAAAAAATAAAAAATACAAAAAATTAAAATTGTGTGCAAGTGCATAAATGTTTGACCAACAACAACGACAAACAGCTGAAAGCCTTTGAATCGGAGTTTGTTATGCTGGTGTTCAGTAGTTTGCCAGACACTTAAACTGTGAATGTACCCTAATTTCCTTGACCTTGGAGGCAGTAATCTAAATCTTCACACTTTGGTGGTGTGGCATGAGAAACAGGACCAAGATGGGACACGTGGGTCACCATAGCGTTCCTGGGATTTCAAATGCTCCAGAGATCCATGTGCATTCACGAGGGTCTAAGATGGGGTGATTGTGCCTGGAAGGATATGTGTGTTGTTTTTTCCCCCTAGCAATTCCGTCCCCTCCCCCCTACCCCTCAGAGTTCCGCCCCCCCTCCCCCCCCCTTTTTTTTTTTTGTTAATGTTGTGTTGCTTCACCAGCTCTCATGTTGATACTGTAGCTCTTCACTGCACTTTGTAGCATCCACCTGTGCTTTGTGCCAGTGCTGGGTTGTGTTTGCTTGTGGTGGCTGTTGCATGCTGTGTGCATACGTGGGCATGTGTGTGTGATGTCTGGAGTGCTCTCCTTTGTTCCCCTTTTGAAATCCTGTCTCTGACCATCCTTCTTTGCCTGGATGGAAAGGGACTGCGTTGCTCTGATGTTGTGAACTAACAGCTGTGCTGAATTTGACACTATTTTCTTTATCAGTTATTGCTTTCCTTTTTCAGTCTTGGTATGTTGTATTTAATTTTATTTATTTTTAACAATTGTAAGCACATGCATTCTCTGGCTCTCTCTAGACACATGTTGCTGGCTGCTTCAGTCCATTTACATAGAACACTAAGCAAGAATGCCCCAAACCATTTACTGAAAGGCAACTTCATTAACTCATAGGTTAGTTAGGGCCTGTGTAGGTTTCTTGGTAGTATGTCTGCTGGAAAAAAAAGTAGCCTAGAGTGCTTTGCTGTAGATCTTTGAAGTACCAAACAGAAGCTCTATTATTGATAAGTCAATCTGCCAAAGTTACCTGAATGCTATTTCAAAAATATGCTGTATTTGCTGTAATTTCTCAGCATATATGGTGTCATATCAGATTTTAAGTAACAGAGGGCTATACAGATATATATGATTAAATCTGTGTGGCTCATGCAGGCTGATGGTTCTGAAAGGCGCTTGTAGACACTGCAGAGTAGCATAGTCTTAATGCTATTTTAAAATACAAATTCTAATGCTAACCTTTGTCATTTGTCCTAAATCATTGTACTTCAGGGTGTGCTCAGTCTATACACCTGGAGAATCAAATAGTGCATGAATAAGCTTGAGGCAGATTGTGGAATCAATATTTTAGCACAGCTTAGTAATAGAGGAATGGGTATTTGTCAAAATGATGGAAGTTACGAGCATGTTTTTTACTTATTCTGTGGGCTTTAAAAGGAAGGAAATAGCTTTTTCAAACCCAGAAGTCATTTTTGTTGTCTTTGGCATTGTTATGCTGTCATAGGTTAGGTTGGTCTAAAATTTTGCTCACAGTGGAGCATCCCTACTGACAGTTGCTGTTGAACTGTCTGCCAAATTCTTTTATAATGAAGGGTGACATATGCAAATACAGCTAACCCCCTTTGAGTCCACAGTGGGGGAAAGCACATCAGAAACCTATGGTATTACATAGCTTCTTAGATGGAGCATTCTTGACAACAAGCTTAGAGTACTTATATCCAAGAATTCTAGAAATTCAAGTTGTCAGGCAAGATTTAGGAAAAGCCCTTCATGCAAATGATAGCACAGTCAACCCTTGACCCATGAATGTGAATCTACAGATCAACTCTCTCAAGATACCTCAAATTCATTAGATGCTTTCCTAAAATGGACAGAAAGGGTATAAAAAGGAGTTTGATTTATAAGCTAGCATGTTAGGATAACCTTTAGAGAAAAGCTCACTAACTTTCCCTTCATGCTCCCGCTTCCCCTAATCCCTGGAGGCTGCATGGGCTTCTCATCCTGCCAGTGCACTGCATTTCTTGTTTTGCGATTACTTTTGTCTGTTGTCCCTCTGTCCTCAAAGATGATCACCGCACCTATGGCCCGAGGTGGGATGCAAATAAGACCACGGTTCCCGCCTACCACCGCTGTGTCTGCTACGCCGCCAAGCTCCATTCCTTTGGGCGGACAGCAAATGCCACAGGTATTTACTGAGTCAAAGCACATTGTGTCAGGAATTGTGCAAAGCATTCAATAAGTGATTGTGTATCGCTTGCTTTCAAGCAAGGGGATGTTCACTTTTTGATCAAAGAACTAACTTTCTGCTGGGTATTGGCCTTTTTAGGTTTTTTATGGGTCCTTTTTAATTTTTAATAGTAGGTTTTCTGAGAGCTTGGGATATCAAATAAAGCATTTTTAAAGTGATGTAGATCTTTATTTTAACATTTAAAACGTTCATAATAAAATGTTCATAATTTATTCAAGTCTCAAATTAGAACTTTGTGGTTTCTGTCCATACTCCACGAGTGTGCATTTATGACAGCGTTGCAAGTCAGTACTGCAGTCTACTGGCTGAGTTGTGTCTGGGACCGTGCTTACCTTGTGTTCATGCTCTGTACAGGTGCTGCTTCTCATTAAGAGTAAACTTCACTCATTTCAGTTTGAGTAGCTTCTTGTGTGGTATCAGGGACCAAGAAAAATGCAGCTGATCTCTTCTTTCACGGTTGTGTAGGAGGAACTGCCAGAAAGATCCCACTTGTGCCTGCATCATAGAAGAACCTGTGTAGGCAGGCTGGCAGCACCTATCCAGCTGTTGCTGGAAGATGCGTGAGCTCAGAGTACTGCATCTGCCTGGTGCAGGTCCGGATCTGCTAAAGAATTTGCAGTCATGTTTTGCAAGCAAAATGTGTCATTTTGGGGGAGCAGGAACAGGGAGAACTAGAATGAAATAGAACTGAGTTCTTGCCAGTAAGTCACGAAATGAGGCACTGCTCTTCTCTGCAGAAGTTTGCTTAACCCTATGTGATTGGTGTTGGTTTAAATGTATATCATACGATGATGGTGGAATAGCGTTCAACTGCATTTTGCTATCTATTATTCATGAACCTCATGTCTTGTTCTTCTAGATGCTAATTTTCAAATTTAATACCAGGTGCAATTTTAGTTCTTAATACCGCTGCATTTTGTTCATAGGTTTAATGACGGTTTCTTCACTCTCTGCATTTTTGTTTCCTTTGCAAGCTTGTCGTGGGCCTTTGGAATGTCTGAAACTCTGCTTCCTAGTGCTGCTGCATCAAGTTTAGTAGGCACAGCCTTATCTTCTCAGGAATTTGCTAAGATAGATACAGTGACCAGAAAGATTCTGCAGACCTAGGCAAACACATCTGTTGTTGTTTCTGGTTGAAGATGGATGGTCATTTCAGTCCAGGTCATTGTATATATGTTCACTGAAATAAAACCCAGATGTAGCTGTTGAGTCAAAGGAGAATTTACTTTGAGCTTTATTCGCTGTAGCAGTTTATATATACTGAGACAATCTGCTGTGTGAGGTATTCGCAAGGTTTGGTTTGACGATGAAGCCTTCCAATGGATACAGAAGTATTAGATGGGCTTATATTTAATACTTGATTCGTAACACAAGACCTTTAGTTTAAGCACTCAGCGCCATAGGCTGATCTCTTAGTGCTGTCTTGTCTGTGGTTGTTGAGGAGCTTTAATTTCTGATACCAAGTGAACTGGTCATCAGTAGCCTGCTAAGGGTTGTGAAAATGATGTAGAAGACTGAACAACTGGACAAGGCAGAAGAAGAAAGGAAATTTCTTCATGAACAATGATTGGAGTGAAAATGGCTCCTAAGCAGGTGGTAGGATGAGGGGTGAGTCTTGGTTTAATGGTGGCAGGAAACATGTTTTTTTTAAAGCCAGTCTGACATGCCATATACTTGACAGCTCTGGATCAGTGTGAATCTCTAGTGCTGTCTGCCAAAGCATTTTGTTCAGGCTGTAGATGTATTAGGAATTAGAAATGTCATAATTTATGCCTCTTAATTTCGTAAAATGCTGAAATAATATTGTCTGTCGGATGTGTTATGACTTCCTTATCAGCAGAGCCGTTGCAGATGTTCACAATAGGACTAAAGGGCTGTAGCATGTATCTGGTTATTAATTGCTCATTTAAGAGTCTCTTTACAGTATCAAAAGTATTTTAGACTTGGTGAAAGGTAGTTCAGAGTGTCTTTTCTCTTTAGAAAATAATCTTGTTATTGCGCTGAAGAACCTCTTTCAACAGAAGGACCAAATGTGATATCAATACTGTGTGGCTGTTTATTTTTACCCCATGTGACACCAATGTCAGTCTGTCCTTTTTTATCACAAATCTGAGTTGATTCTGCAGTGGTTTTTTTGGTTTGCTTTTACAGTCTTTTCGTCAAAAGAATATATTTAGTGATATGGCATTGTATTCCACAATTTCCCGTTTTTTAAATTGCCAGAGAATTAGAACTGACTTTTTTTTCTTAGCTGAAGTTTGTTTGTGCCTGAATAGTTACCAACCATGAACCACAATCAATGTTGGTGGCACTTTTTGGACAGCTAAAAGAATCTATATTTGGATTGGCTCAAGAAACCTGCTGATCTTGAAATGTTAAAAGATTAATATTTAGCTTTTGCTTTAGCAATTATAGAACTAATTATATAACTAATATGCTAATACCAGTCATTCTCCTGTATTTCTAGTGTCAAAATCTTCAAGTTCTGTCTACAAATTTATTGCAGTCTGTAATAGTATGGACTTCCAATTTGTTGTTGGCACAGAAATCTTCAGCAAACTGAAAATATACGGGGGGACAAAGATAAGAATTGTTATTAAACTAAAGCAAGGGATACTGGCCTGACTGGGAATATGGAAACCTGTATCTGAACTTATTTGAAGCTCTGCAGAGTTTCTATTTTGTCACATAAAACAGCATAATGGTGAACTTTTAAACCCAGTTTGCAACAGAGCAGGCAAGGCTATGCTTACTGGCTTAACATTGAAACTGTAAGTACAGTAGTGTAAATGCTTTCTAGAGTTTTCTTTTAGACTAAAGGTGTTTCTACTGTTCCTAATTATTACCCATCACTTCCTTGTTGCAGTCTCCTTTTCCTTGCTATTAGCTTGTGCATATTGTGCACTCTTGCTGCTGGGAGCTTCTGAAAAACTGTCACTAGCCTTATCTGCTGAGTACTGTTCCTTGCCTGAGACTCAGCAAACTGGAGATTGGCCTCATAGCTAAGTTTATCTTCCAGCATGGTGTGATCTAAATATTAAGAATAGGTTTGATTTAGTGGCTATAAAGAGCAAACTTTTGTCATGCAAGCCTAAATGTCTTGTGGGCAAGACTTCAGAAAATTAGGACTTGGTTTCATGATCAGATCACTGTAGAGTAGCAGAGGACATTGACATTCAGTGGGCTGTAATCACTGTCCATGAATATGCTTGTGGATACAAAAAATCTCGTCCTTTAGTAAAGAAATAGGTAACTGCATTTCCTTATGTTGAAGATGAAGGGTATGCAAATGGTCAGTAACCATGGCTGAACTCTGGATTTAAATGAGGAGCTATATGAGTTTAATGGAGTTAAGCTCCAGAGGGAGGGGGTTTTTTGCCTTTTGGGTTTAATGGGTGGTTTTGGTTATTTTAAACTGCCTTTTTAGTGGGAGTCAGCTGGAAAGAGCATTCCTTAAAAGTTGAAATTTCATTTAATTATTATAATCTTAATCGATATCCTGCAAAAATGTAGAAATCTAAAGCTGAAAGCGTCTTTAGATCTGTTCTATAGAAAGACATCTGAAATTATTATGTAGCAAATTGACTGCTTTCAAAGAGAAGTAAAGCAGTAAGTTCAGAATTGCGTACTTCTGATTGCATGTTTTTGAAAATCTAACATTTTTGCATCATGTTAGACATCACCTTTCGATATTCTGAAATGAAGCTGGCAGAGAGCAAACCTTGCAAGAATGACAGCTATTTGCCTATGCATGTACTTAAATGAGAAAGGGTAATGCAAAAAAAGGTATCAAAACTAATTCATTCTATGATTTTGTGCACAGTAGATGCTGCATGTTCTGTTCTTTGTTTTCCTGCAACATTTGTAAATTGACGTGAAGGGACCTTGGTGTTGAAGTCAATACAGAAGCTTAAATCTGGCAGAAAACCCTAATGAAATCTTTCTCCTTCTTTCCCAAAACACAAGGATTTAAGTTTTCAGAAGTAATTTTATGTAACCAACTTGAGACACTTAAAAAGGGGCCTGATATTCAGGAAGTGATGAACCCCTCAAAAGTGGTCTTAGTTTGACTTGATGAAAAATGGGTGCAGCATCCATATGGGTAAGTTCTAAATCGCTTGCTGTTAAATAGAATGTTAAATAGAATTGTAAAAAAAAAAAATCAGGGCGTGCTTTTTGCAGTGTTCATCCTAGCTTCCTTCCAAACAGTGGTGAGATGCTTGGTTTCTGTGAGGGGCAGACTGTGCGTTTCTTTCCCAGAAATGCTTTGCCAGCTATTGAGGAGACGCATGGTGTTAAAGAATCCACCTCCTATGAAAAACAGTAAGCACAGTCTCAGTGTGTGTTTATTGTGGAGAAAAGGAAGATCTAATAGCTGATTTAAAACATAATTTCAGCCTCACTTGTTCTAGATATTATCTTCAGAGGAGAGGTTGTGAATATAATAGAGTTATTGAAGATTTTTTAAAAATCATAGTATGTCAGGCTGAATTTTATTTTAAACTGTGATTTAATGGGTGATAAACTAATATCTTCAAGTGTGTAATAGTTTTAAATTTGCACCTAGCTGGGGATTGTTAGCGCCTTTTTTTTTAGTGGTGTGTGACCTCTTGCATAGCTGTAATGGGATATTCCAAGCAAAGCGTTTCCTGTCATATTCAGTGCATGCATGCAAAAGTAGACCATGCAGTACTTTTTATGTGCTAAATATCATGTTCTCTGGAAAGAGTTGGATGATTTAGATATTTAAGGAGTGAAGGATAACACCAAATTGCAGTGGCCATCAAGTGTAGGGATTTACTAGGACTTTTGCTTAAAAATGATTTAGGCTGGGGGAAACAGAGTTAATTCATAAAGGTACTCATCGATGACTTACAGAATGGACATATGGGTTACTGAGCTACAGTATGTGGCCTCTGCAGGCTAATTTAATTTATCTTTCTATGTACTTACGTATAGCCTCAGGTCATAAGAACTCCTGGCCATGATACAGGTTTTCTTGTTTGGTTTTAAGTCATCAAAGGAAGTGTCCATTACAACATGTGAGAAGTTGCTCTAATTTGAGTGTCATTTGGCTCTGGCCCTTTATAGTGTACAGAATAAACTTAGTTATTACTGAGAGTTTGGTGCTGTTCTAGATATGCTTTTATTCATCTTTCTGTCCTTCAGTCACAGCTCATCATTCTCCAGTGGTCAGAAAGCTACTTCCTTTTTTTCCAACCCAGCCATTCAGTTTGGAATGTTTCTATCTCCACCCAGATTTTCAAAGCTGAATATTTAAACAAGATGTTGGTGGTTTGGCTTCCCTTTTTTTTTTTTTTCTTCCCCCCTCCCTCCTAAAGAAAACCAGTTGGGAAGCTACAGTCAAGTCTGACAGACCTTTGAAGTTTTTATGGCTCTTAATTCTGAAGTTAGAACTGTCTTTTCTTCCTGCTCTTCTTGACTAGTTCTAATAAAGTACAAGTTTTTCAGATAGCACTTCTAATATTTTAAATGCAACATGATGGTTTTGGAAATTAAAAACAATTATTATACAGTTATTCAAATTATGTGCTGTTTTAATGGCTATTTATAGTGACGTAGATATGAAGTACTGCCCTGAGAGCCTCAAGGGTGATACAGGTGGCACTGTCATTATGAGAGAGAAGAGGAAACTAACGCTTTCATCTCTTGTAGGCTTGAGGATACGCTTCTCTCCATAGGTAAAGCCTTTTAGTCAGGTTCCCTGTCTGTGCTCCCTTTTGTTGTTATTGATCTTATCCTTTTCCACATTTCAGGTCAGCCAGAACAATATTACCATGATGTCATCCCCATCTCCTGTCCAACAAGCTCAAACACCGCAATCAATGCCTCCACCACCACAGCCGCAGCCATCTCCTCAGCCAGGCCAGCCAAATTCTCAGCCAAACTCTAATGTCAGGTAAGCTAGACTGCAACTTCTGAGGTCCTTTGTCAGTGCCATAAGAGTGAGGTGTTCAGAAGCATTCAGTATATCTTGCTCTGTTTCCATTGAAGTGAATTAATTTTAACATGCACTTCAGTGAGAGCAAAGGTGGGATTGTGCCGAATACATTCTGAAAACCCGCATTTTAAATAAAGAAGCTATGTACAAAATCCTTACCGAGTCTACTGGCAAAGCTACAGAGTGCCATAGCGATGCTTGCTACAAGCATATCTGCTCGCAGGCTGATCATGCTTGCTTGTCTGGCAGGTTTGATTTTATGCTTATTTTTCAGCTCCGGCCCAGCTCCATCACCCAGCAGCTTTCTCCCCAGTCCATCTCCACAGCCATCCCAGAGCCCAGCAGCTGCACGAACACCTCAGAACTTTAGTGTCCCGTCCCCAGGTCCTTTAAACACCCCAGGTAAATGATCTAAGAGTTATGCTGCAGACCGTGAGTTGGGGTATGTTTTGGTAACTGCAATAGTTCCCAGGAAAGCTGTTATTGTTTGACACGAGGTAAATATTAAAGAGCTCTACAAAGCAGCCAGCATTGCAAGTAGTGAACATGTCACGTGCACAACATAATGCAACAACATGGATATCTCTAATCAAAATCAACTGAAACCTCTTTTCTCATGACTGGACTGTGTAATGTGTTTTTTCTAACTTCCCCAGTCTTTTGAAAAAAGAATGATACTTAACTTAATGGAGCAAGTTTATAGAGGCGTAATGATTCCATGGTTCCATGCAGGAAGGAACCCTTAGCAACAACATGCAATCATAAAGGATGCAACTACGTAATCACAGGTGGCAGGCTTCTTTGCTCCAAAGCGCCTTCCTAGGTGTACTCTGACACTTTCGCTCCTCTCTCTCCCAGGTGTAATAAGCAGTTTCTGATACGGTGAATGAAAGTAACGTATGGGCTCCTTCTCATACCAGTGTTGTGTGCTCTGCGGTTTAGAAAGCACTAACTTAAGGAAAACTGCAGTAAACTGAGTATGTTGATTTAATGTTTAATGCACCAGAGTGAGGGCAAAAAGAGGACCTAGAAAATCGGTGTATGAATTTTGGACCTTTTCAGAAAAAAAATGTGTTAAATGGGAATTGCTGTTCTGTCCACAGAATACATTACTTCTGCACAAAGAATAGAGAGTTGGACAAGCACTTTTAACTGTGGATCCAGTTACGGATTTGGATATTTGGCATGAGCTACACTTCGAGAGCACCACATTTCAGATCTAGATTTTGAAACGTGAGAATGCGGTTCTGCAATATCTTTTATCTTCCCTGTGTCATGCAGTATTTATTTCTTGCCAGGAAATCCAAATTCTGTCATGAGTCCAGCCAGTTCTAGCCAGTCAGAGGAGCAACAGTATCTGGAGAAACTCAAACAGCTATCAAAATACATTGAGCCACTCCGGAGGATGATCAATAAAATAGATAAAAATGAAGGTGAAGTTCCCTGTATTTAGTCATGCATTTCTCTCTGGCAGCTGTCTCTTCTGATGAAAGAAGCAGTACCTTGCCTTTTTTGTGATGGTTTCTGTTCCAGGGATTAAAAATGGCAGTCAGAGTTCTTTGTTCTTTCTTGCTTATGACTGTAAAGATTTTACTGTGAAGAGTGGGTAAAATCCTCGTCCTTAATTTTCCATCGGTTTTTGTTTACTTGTGATGTTTTTGAAACACATAGAGCTTATGCAATGGATGTACTTATGATTAGATGGAAGATCTTTATTCAATGTTGGCTCATGTTGTCACTTTCAACAGTATACTGTGTTTCTTTCTGCAAGTATGGAAGCTATTCTTGTAGACAGCATTTGTGTTTCTGATATTATTTCAGATAGGAAGAAGGACCTGAGTAAAATGAAGAGTCTCTTGGATATCCTGACTGACCCTTCAAAACGGTAATTCTTTTTCCATTTGGCTGGACATCGGTTTACCCAGCCCTTCCAGAAATTTGTTGTTTAACATCCAGCCACGTGGGCATTGAAGCTGTCTGTGGGGCTCAGATAGCAGAAACATTTTGGCTGAGGTGACCATTTTGTGACGAGGATATTTCTCCTTTTCTGCAGGTGCCCTCTGAAGACACTGCAGAAATGCGAAATTGCTCTGGAGAAGCTGAAAAATGATATGGCTGTGGTAGGTAATGCTTTGTGCTAGCAAGGGATAAGCAATTAATTCTAAAAGGTCTTCTGATTTGGCAAGATAATTTTCTGCATTTCATGTTCTAAGACTTCAGGTAAGGTTGGACAAAATAAGAAAACGGGGAAAAAAAAGGGCAGGCATTTACATCACATAAATGACCTATCTGTATCTTTTAAATGAACTTTCAAATTCTTGTGCTTTGTGCAAAGACTTGAGTAATTCTTTCTATGAACTTTTGCAGCTGACTTCAGGACAGAGTTCCTAAAAGAAAGCTGCAGATGGCTTCCCGCCCCCCTTAATGTTACTGTGTGCAGTTTTGAGAATCCTTTGTATTTCATGCATTAGAAGTTTACTGCTATAAAATTTTGCAGTGTCAATAGTAGAATTTCTTTTTTGGTGATGATTAAATCAAAAGGGGCTTCTCTTGTGTTTTAGCCTACTCCACCGCCTCCCCCAGTGCCCCCCACCAAACAGCAGTACTTGTGTCAGCCACTTTTGGATGCTGTTTTGGCCAACATCCGTTCACCAGTCTTCAACCATTCCCTTTACCGTACGTTTATGCCAGCTATGACTGCAATTCACGGACCACCTATCACGTATGTATCATTGACCTGCTGTCTGTCTTAAATGTTCATTATTTAAGGGAAAACTATTTATTTGTAGAAACTGGTAGAAGAACAGATGGGTTTATGGACAGGTGTGAGTTATATCTTTCCTTTTTACACCTGTAAAATATTTGACAAATGTGATGTTGGCATAGTGTTTTCACCTAGTCCTTTTGTGGACTGTATTTTACACAGGGCTCCAGTTGCTTCACCTCGAAAACGGAAATATGAAGAGGATGAAAGACAGACCATACCAAATGTCTTACAAGGGGAAGTTGCAAGATTAAATCCTAAATTCCTGGTAAACCTGGACCCTTCCCACTGCAGTAATAATGGCACAGTTCATCTCATATGCAAGCTAGGTAAGCAAGAAGAAACTAAGGGATGAATTCAAAAATAAGTACTGAGCTTGATTGTAGAAACTCAGAGTTTTTTGCTAAATCTTGAATCTTGCCAAGCTGTGACTTCTGCGTGAAGTCTGTTCTTATCAAATTCATAGCACTGCTTAATCATGACAGTCTGTACAGCCTGCTTTAGGGTACACCCAGAGACTTCATTCACACTGGTTGTTCCTTTCTTTGCACTGGAGTTGCAATTGGTAATGTCATTTTATGTCTAGAAAAATACTTGTTGCTAGTAATAATCTGGATTCCGGATTTGGCCGATACTGGTATGTGAGAGTTATTCTGCCTCCAACAACTAGGACAGAGCTAGAGGAATGTTGACTTAGTTTTTAGGAGGGTCTGTTTCAATTTGTACTAGTGATCACTAACAACCATGTGTGTTCAAGAATGACATTCAGACTACATCTTTTTTCCTGTCTCAGCTGAATAAGTCTGAAGTGTTATAGTCTATTAACTTGTTTTGCTCTTGGATTCCAGTGGGAAAAATAGATGCTTTCCTCTTCCTCATTTGAGGAATCTGAACTGGTTTTGTCCTGAATATTAGTACATAAGGCACTTAATTGTCAAAAATGAGGTTTCTAACTTAGCAACATTCAGCTGGTGAAACAATGAGATTGACAAGTTACAAAAATGTGTAAGAGGTGGAGCTATGTTTGCCAGGATTTTCTTCCAAGAATTTAAGAGTGTTCTTAAAGTGAGCAATGAGATTTGCCTTCCAATAAAAATCGAGATGTTCAGCCTGGCTCCTGCTTGGGGTTCAAAAGCTAGAAACCAAGTTGAATTATGCATACACCCCCACTTCCCCCCTGCACTGCCCCAGTCCAGCAAGGAATGCTTTGTTCTGATGGGAGGTGTGTTTGCATTCTAGATGACAAGAATCTTCCAAATGTCCCACCACTACAGCTCAGTGTTCCAGCGGACTATCCAGATCAGAGCCCTCTGTGGATAAAAAATCCTAGACAGTATGGTATGAGGATGCTAGCATGACATTTCTTGGGCATGTGTATGTGTTAATAGTGGGGAAATGTGAACACTTCATGTTACTTTTGTTTTTATATATATTATTTTTATTATAACTCTGTTATCTGTTATCTTTTTTCTTCCAGCAGCCAATCCCTTTTTGCAGTCAGTGTATCGGTACATGACTTCAAAACTATTGCAACTTCCAGACAAACATTCAGTCACGGCACTCTTAAACACCTGGGCACAAAGTATTCGTCAGGCCTGCCTATCTGCTGCATAACATCTCACTTCATAAGTCGTGAAGCAAGAAAGAAGGTCTCAATAGCTGGCCTCTTCCACATGCCACTGGAAAATCACATTTTGGGGAGGGTACTTCAGAAGAAAGAAGCCTTACGTTGTTTTGTTTCTAGGTGTCAGGTTCAGTAGAGAACCTGATGTTAGACTTAGCCTTCATGCTTTTTCTCTTCTGCCTCTGTGGACTTTTGCCAGCATTTTCAAATATACAAAATGTGTATATATGGTTCTTGAGACTGTATTAGGATGAGTTTTTATTGTCTTCTTAGAGAAGAAATTATTTGTGGACTTCCATCAGGGAGTCTGGTATAAGAGGTAGTAGGGAGAGAATGTCCTAATTTGCTTCAAAGTTTGCTCAGTGCCAGTATTCCTTTCACACTGTATGTTTTGTGACCCGATACTGCCCCAGAAATAAATTAGCTGCAACTAGAATGTGCTTGCAAGCTTCTCAGTGGTTGCAGGAACCTTTTTGCGTATTAGCTTTGCTCAGAGATGGGATAAATTGCAGCCTTTTAAGGCATTCCTCAAATGTGTGAGAAAAATCTGGGTAATTATACTTGGGGGTGGGGAACCAAATAGAGACAAAGTATTTTATAGCTTATTTTAAACACTACTTTGTATAAACAGTTTTTGGTTAGCGTGGACCACATGTTTCTCACTCCCAAAGAGTGAGGTGTTTAGAAAGAAGAGATATTAATGTCTACACCGACTTCCTCTATAAACTCAGTAAATGTGTACGTAAAGGCGGGAGGAAGATACCTAACAGTATAAAGTCCTAGTAACACAAATCGATCCAGCAGGCTTGTAGCTACATTTCCTCTTTTACTAAGAGTCTCTCTGAGGTGTCTGGCTTCCTTTGGGAGTTGATGCAGTTCAGTGAAAATGCTTCTATGCTATATAAGTTTGTTTAAAAACAAAAGGAAAAAAACCAACATAGCTCAGGAGTAGAACTGACAACTAATATTTTGTGCCTTGAGCAATGATGGGCGCTGAAGTCAGTCATCAGCTACCTTATTGTTGGGCACTTCTAATGAGAACATTTGCCGTAAGTAACTCTAATTTCATGCGTAGTGTGATTGTTTTATTTTCCCTGTGCTTATAAGTTGCTCGCTCTTAATTTCCTGGTGCAGAAGAATTTCAGATTCCTGATGTTTCCATTGTATCCTGCTCCATCTCCCTGTATTGTGCAGGAAATCTTAAAGAGTAGCTGGGCTCTCTTACAGTAGCGTCAAGAAATTGCTATGACCTTCATAAATCTGTGTGGTGTCATCAGTTTTAGGAAGTTTTTAAATGTGGGTACTTAGCACTGAGGCAGCAGAATGCTATCAGTATTTTGTAAATGAACTAATGCATTATCTGTTGGTTTCTGTTGTAATAAATTTATTATTATTCCTGTGCTGGATGCTAACATACTGCTCTTCCCATGTTGAGCCTTAGATACCAGTTCTGTTGTGTCTGTTGGGCGATGGTGACTGTTCCATGGTAAGGGAAAACTTGTAGGCTTTGAGGTTAGGGGAGGAAATCTTAAATGGCTCTTCATCCCATGCAACACTCTTTAGTGTCCTCACAGTGAATTGGAAGACCTGGTCAAGAGATCAGTAATGGTGTCTACAAAAGAAAGATGCAGGTTTTTTTAACCAATGATGTTACATGGCTGACTCTTTCATTAGGGCCAAAGAACTAGCGGCACCAATACAGTTTGTAATACATAATTAAGTCATAATCCAAGAACTGAGGATAGAAGCGGAGGGGGATTGAAGTATTGCCGGAGTCTAACACTGATACATTTATAGCATTTATTTCTTAACAATTGGATTAAAACATACGTGGAAATGGATGCAAAACATGCATGTACCTCAGAGTTACAGTAACTTCCCTAATGCAGTTTTCGGAGCTGTCGCTGCAGTACCTTTCTGTTTTCCTTTAAACAAGATGTAAGGAGATGTTAGATGAGGGTGGGGTAGGCATACTGACATACAGCACCTTCTCAGTTGGGAAATAAATTGTGAAATCTGGAAGGGGGTCATGTACCCACAACATGCCCAATTAATAGCTGTGTATCAATATACCTGCCTTCCTTTTCTGTTGATGGGCAAGCTGTCACAAGCTGCTTACAGATCTTGCTAGAATAAAAAGTAAAAGCTTATTCCCAAATCCTTGGAAAGACGCACCGAAGTGGGAGCAAACTAGTATTAATGTTTGGGTGCTTCACCAGCTGTTGGGGCATTAAAAGTGAATTCAGAAAATGCCTTTGTTACGAAAAATTCAGGGCTTCATGTCTTTCAGAAATGCACAAATCTGTTATGAAATCAGAAATATGCACGTCTGGTCCTCTTCTTTCTTGAACAAATGGCATACAAAATTAATTCATAATCATCTTTTACTTCAAATGAGGTGACAATAGCAGCTGAAGAATCTATCCTGAAACTTCTATCTAAATGTTTGAAGCAGTAATAAGGACACAAGAATGAAGAGTAAGAGTGTTGAATTAAAGCACAGTTTGATGGTGATGGCTTCTTTGGATAACCTGAGTTCTCCTCTGTCTCTCAACAAAGCTGTTCACTGGTATTTGTTTCAGTGGTGGGAAAACTGCCTTTTTTGTAATAGGCACTGCTGTGGCAATAGTACTGCAGAGGAATGCAGCATATTGCTGTTACTGTCATTAGCTGAAACCATTTCTTTTTCGGGTAGGAAAGGTATTGGGTTAGGATTACTGTCCTGTTGGTGAGCTCAGTGATCGTGTGATGGACTGTTCTGTCGGGCTGATGATGAGACTTTAAGCTTCAGTGAGAACTTTTCCCCCCAAAGTTTTGGTATTTTGAATGAATTACTGTTTTTCTTCGTGGAGCAAGGATATTGTGTGATTGGCTGATCTGTTTTTCCAAACTTCTTGTCTGAGGCATAGCTTTTCTGAGTTCAAGTCGAGCTTTCTATCTTTGCTTATGTGAGCTACCCTGTCATTGTCTGGCACGGCCAGGCAGCAGGCACATCAGCAGCTGCCAAGCCTGGCAGAACATGTCCTGCCTTTTGGCTCCCCAGGGCTGCTCGCTCTTGCTAGGCTGTCAACACAGCATGCTTAAGGGCAGAACACGGGGAAGATGTTCTTGCAGGCACTCGTTTTGGGAATCATTGTGCTAATGAATGAGTCTTCCTGTTTTGAAGCACTATGCCTTTGTTTTCTGGACTCATCCTTTTCCCAGTACACTACTGAAAATACTTATACACTTTAATATTAATGTACTATAGTTACCTTACAGGATATGGTGATGCTTAAATTTAGGAAAGTATATTTTTCTCTATCTTCCAAAACTGTTGACTCCCACTAGAATGTAGTGTTAAAACTGCTCTGGGCTGGTTCATTCTGTGTATTTCCACTTGTAGATAACTTTTACAGGCCAAATTTGACTGTAAAAGGTGTGAGATGTACTAGAGAGCCAAGACAGCTCATACTGACAATATGAGCTAATATAACTTATTTGCATATCAGTAGAATAGACTGATTTGCATATCAGTAGAATTATTTAATTCCATTTGGGTAAATACTACCTTCTAAAGCAACTTGTATTACCATATCTACTCTCTCGGTTTCTCACCTGTATCAGCTCTGTGAGTTTTCTGAGACTAGCATCTCATATGGACAGCACCTTAAAGCGGCAAATACTGGAGAGGGGCTATAGGAAGCAGAGCAGTTCCTGTCATGTGAGTAGTCTGTACAGATATTTCAGAAAGAGTCAGTCAAACTCTAACTGGCCAGTGTCTTCACAGAATGATTTAATCTTTGGAACAACCAACTTAAAGAAATGGTAGAATACATTCCTTACTCTAACCACATCTTTAAAAGAACTGCAGATCTGTTACTAAAACTGGTTGTATAAGATGAGCAAGTTCTTTCTGGCTGGAGGAGAGAAATAATAGGAGTGAAGGACCCTAACTAACTGTTGTTGGCCACTTTCTTTTTCTGTGTTGAACTGTCCTGTCTGTTTAGGCAGCAGTCACATACCTTGCAGATTGTCCTATCAGCGCTGGATATGGGCTCTGTCATACTAAAGAATATACTGAACTAAACAACTGATTCTCTGGGAAATGCTTTCCAGCTGAGGGGCCTGACCTCCAACTTGAACCTGATCCATCTTTTAGACTCTTATTCCTCAAAACATTATTTTCTAACTACAGTAGCCGTAAAAAAATTTCTCTAGCAGGACAAGTGATAACTATATGTGTTAATCTTCATCTGAAGACAAATGCCTGTTCTTCAGATGTCTAGTCTCCTGGAACATTTTTGTTCCTGTTGTTGTCTTCCAAACATTATTTCAGATGCACCAAGGAAGAGAGAGAACTTAGCTTTCTGCTGTTTTTCTAGAAAACTTACTTGCCATAAACAATGGGGGTTTTGTAGGCTCCGTGAATTAGTAGCAGTCCAAATTTAGCTTTGTATGTGTTTCTAAATAGTTCACTTTGATGTCAGTATGATTAGTAAAATATGCATGATAAAACTAATAAAAATGGTAATAAGGCCACATAATGAAGTGATAAAATGTCTTGTCTGATGACCCATCTCTGATATTTCTGCTACCCCAAAGGTAAGTCATGCCTTTTTTAGCAGTCTTACATGCTGAACAGTGATTTGAACTGGTCATCACAAAAGATGAGGTAGAAATTTTGTTATCTGACAAAAAAAGAAGGAAACGATGACCTGAGACCTGTGACTGCAGAGCTGATGATGGGAGTAGTCTGGAGCGGCAGTTTAAGCAAACAGGTCTGCAAAGCCAAGGCCCTCAGGTGTCGAATTGCTCAAATCAAACTTGCAGCAGGACAGTTATCCACAGCATCACAGCAGGAGAATGACTAATACTAGGAAATAGCTTCTCTTACGTTTTGTGTGGAACGTGGTGAGATGCGACCCTCGTGCAGCTCTAAGGCTCAAGCAAATTGGGGGATTTGGTAGCAAAAACTGGTTATTGCAGGCTTACTTTCATGATATGGAATGCTTTGGTTCCTACAGCATAGTTCTGCATGTTTGTTTACACTTAGCTGATAGCTGTTTTCATACTGAACCTCTGTCTGTTTTGATTAGTTCTCTCCCGCGTGCACTACCATGGCATATTTTTAGTGAGCACAAATGGTGGTTATTTTCCTGACTTGAGTTGCCTTTGGAAGTTGACCTGATCAGGATTCCTTGTTGTGGCATCTCTTGGTGTGTTGCCCCAAAGAATATTTGGTGTTAGTAAAAAAAGTAGCTCAGAGGATGGAACTTGCAGGAAGGGGTGAGAGTGAACATGGGGACACAAATCTACGCACTGCTGTGCCTGCACTTTGCCAGTGTGCCATAATCTGAGGGCAGAAACAGGCTGGTGGGGAAATAAAGCCCCTTAGTCCCAGGGAAAAATGGATGTGTTGAAATGACAAAATAGACTGTGAAAACACCAGCTTTC